ATCTGTAGCTGAGCTTACAGATGATGCTGAAGACAACAGGCAGTTTGTGGCTTGTACTTCTGGTCAGAGCAGGCTGCYGAGTGTGGACTTCAAGGACTGTTTTAAACATCTTCATGGACAGTACAGTGGATTTATTCCCTTGAGGCTATACATTTTTAATACTGTCTTGCCGTGTATAAAACATTTTCTTATTTAAATTAATATTTCTATTATAATTTTGATAAATATTCTTCAATAAAGCGTTAAATGGTTTTAGTTTTTTGTAACTGCTTATTAGAACTAATCACTTTATCATTGAACATTACTGAATTATCTTTTGATCAATTACAAAACACAAACTTACATTAGGAATCATGATAAATYACTGGGTCAGTGCTAGACATGCAAAACTAGAACTAACATCTTTAAAATATGCTCTTAAAAACTTGTCTTTTTTAATAGACACAGTTTTTTATGTCTCTTGTGGTAATACACTGAAACATGTCCAGTATGTCTGAAGAGACATAAAATAACTTTGTTTAGTAAAAAAAAAGTTTTAAAAGATTTATCAGATATATAGGCACAATGAACTTCACAGGATTATTAAATATATGCTTTATTTGACATATGGGTAAAATAAATCCGTTATTTATTTGCACAGGTAAATACATTATTGTTGAAAGATGATTCCTCCATATTCCCGTGTGTCTGGGACAGTTTCTGATCTGTTGAAAGAGCATAAAGTAGAAGATGTTTTAGATATTTTGATCACAAAGGATTACATCCTGGGGTGGAAGAAAACTTTTTGGCAGCAAAATATCAGGAAAACCTGTCTGATGTGCAATAACTGCTTATTATTGTGATGATGATGATGATGATATAACTTGTGATAAATGAATACATAAGTATCTGTGTTGATGTCTTACAACAAACATAAACTAAAACATAATTTCTATTCCAACATGACAGTTTCTTTATGATTTTAAACATCTCCCCCATTAAACATTTTCTGATGCTCCAGATAGTGAAAAACACCCTTTACTGCAGTGGTTCTAAATTATGGTCCTCATGACGCGTTATCCTGCATGTTTTAGTTGTTTTCCTGCTCCTCTGCAGGTCTCTGCAGAAGCTTGTCAATCACCCAATAATTTAAATCAGCTGTGTCAAAGCTAGAAAACAACTAAAACATGCAGGACAGTGGGTCACGACTAGAACTGAGAATCACTGCTTCACTATCAGT